AAATAATTTCAGTTATCCATAAGCTTAAGGCCAACAAAACTCCAGGAGAAGATGGTCTTCGGGCTGAGCTTTTCAAATGCTGTCCATTGTCATAAGGCACCTTTAACAAATGTACTCTTTAGTATGGAAAAAAGAAATATTACCAGATGATTGGAGGAAAGCAATTCTGCTCCCAATTCTCAAGAAAGATGATAGGACATACTGCAACAATTATCGAGGAATCGGCCTACTAGACGTCTCAGCAAAAATTTTTGCTTCCCTGCTACTCAACACACTTATGGAAGTATGGGACAGCAGAGTACGCTCTAATAAAGCTGGATTCAGACCGGGGCGCAGTTGTGCTGACCAGATATTCACGTTAAAAAGAGTTATCGCTTCAGATATTTGCAATCCACTATCACGTGTTTCATCGACTTTGCGGCTGCTTTTGATTCAATTGATAGAGCGGAGCTTTGGGGGGTGATGGAACGTAACGGTGTTCCAGAGAAAATCGTTTGACTCATTTTATGAGCGCACATCGGCGCAGATCTGTGCATATAGGGAGTTGACAAATTCCTCCGAAATAATAACAGGTGTCCGTCAGGGCTGCGTCCTTTCCCCCACAATATTCAATTGTGAGATAGACTGGATCATGGACACCACTTGTCGTCACTCAAGAGGTGTCCAAATCAGTCCAGAGCATCGTATCACAGATCTTGAATACGCTGATGATGTAGTTCTTTTTGCTGTTAGTTATAACGAAATGCAAGTAGAAACGCGTCAGAAACTGCAGCAAGAATAGGACCCAGATCAATGTAAATAAAACGAAAGTCTTTTCGTCTTATGTGCAAGAAGCTGATAAAATGCCTCTTTTTGTAAATTCATTGCAGGTTGAGGAATTGCCCGATTTCAAATACCTTGGGTCCACTCTAATACCAAATGAATAGTTAAAAGATGATATTACAACTCGGATCACGGCAGCTAGAAATTCGTTCTTCCGGTTGACGAAACCTTTATGGAGTCGTCGTGAAATCACTATAAAAACGAAAGTCCGCATCTATATCGTGATCCGTTCGATCTTGCTATATGGTTCTGAGACATGGCCAATGAGAGTGGAGGATATTAAGAAGTTATCTGCCTTTGACCATTCTTGTCTAAGGTACATATTACGGATCTGTCGAGCGGATAAGATATCGTATGATCGCATCAATCTTCGTTCAAATGCCACTTGAATAAATAATGTTATCACAGAGCGCCGCCTTCGATGGTTAGGGCACATTCTACATCATAGGAGTTGATGCATATTTTGTTATTTGCTAAACCGTGCGATAATTGGCAAAAGCGAGGTGGGCCAATCAAGACCCGAATTGATATGGTGAGAAAAGATTTTGAACGAATAGGTGGACCAGCAATATATGGACTTAGACGATGGAAAAAGGAATTGCTTCCATTATTGTCGATGATATCATCAGACCGCACCGCTTAGAAGCGCCTTACTCTTGTAGCCTTGGAGCCAGCCTAACCAGTAATGATGAGAGCTGTTAGAAGAAGAAGAAAGAAGATCGAAAAAATCTGATTCACTGTGCCTTTCAAAATTTTACTTCCACAATGGAATCTATTAATGGAAGAATAAGTTATGAACAACAAATTCTATCGTTCATAACGTATTCTTCCATTAATGTTTTAAAATATATAATGTGAGGAAGGAATTTATCGATTTTCGATTTTGAACTGCAAAAATTAAAAGATATTTGATATATAAAGATAGTTATAATTGGATTTCTCTGCATTTCATTGCAGTATTTCCATAAATTTGACTTTTTTTTTCATTTGAAATTTTATTATTTTATAAATATTTAATTTGTTAAATATGTTACCAGTGGAACCCAGTGTTTAATTAGAGTGTTTAATTTAAATTATCGTGTTAAGAATCATTGGTTCTTTTTTTACCGAAATAAATTTGTCATCAAAAAATGTTGGTGAATACTGGCGATCTATAAATACTTCTTCCTAAGTGGCTCTCTGGAAAAGTTTCAAAATATTCCAACAATCTTCCGAGTGGCTCTAACCAGAAATAATGAGCGGCAATCACTTATTCATAAGTTGTCATGGCTGAAATTTTTTACTTTTAATGCTTATACTGGAAAAACCATCGCATTATTTTTCTATTTTTCTCAACGGTGTTCTGATTTCAAAATATTAAGGAATGGTTAAAAGAGCCTTCACCTGTGATTTGTGATAATATAAATGCAATATTAGAAAGAATCCAAGAATATCAAAATTATCAATATTGGAATTTTTTTCTCTTTAAATATTTATTTTTTGCTTATGGAAGTCGATAGTAGCGAATTATAGTGGATGGATTAGCAATCATTATATTATACCGTTCCTGAATTAATATTTTATTTAAAAAGTATCTCTATATCTCTATTAATAACTTTTTTATACTTCCAGAAATTTGTTGCAAAAAAAAATTTTAGCAAAAATTCGTAAAATTATGCTAATATAGGATTTTAAGAGGGCGACTAACCAATAATATTTCATTATAAAATATAAAACTTAAGAATGAATCAATAATTCTTGAGTAATTTTTTATTTGCATTATCATTAAAAATAATAATTAATAAATAATAAATGAATTTAAAAGATCAAGTTACTTTGAAAATTAAGTAAAGTGGTTAGCACTTGCTATATCTGGTTAATTAAGTTGTCTAAGTTAAAGGAGTTTTATTTACCAGGTAGTCTCATTTGGCGAAAACAAAAGTAAGTAAGTAGCCAATACTTCTTTGACATTTTAGGGCAGATGCACTGAAAAAAAGAACCAAACCCTTCAATATGTTCAATTAATGATGCAAATTAAATGAAATATTTATTTTTAGACCTTTATTTATTGCGAGAAAAACAAGAATTAATATTCCTTTCGATCTTATAGGATATTCAGTCTTTCAAAATAAAATATGGACAGTGAATTGAAGTGAACCATAAAAATTATTTATCTAAAAAAATTTATCTAATTAATTTGGTTCAAGGAACAATAAATAATTGAATTATATAAACGTAGAAAGAAAATTAATTCAAAGTTTTTTTTTCAAATATTTGGATTAGGTCACAATCGGAATAAGATGAAACCATAATTAAATCATGCTTTATTTGTCATGGACTATTGGTCTGTAAATCTGTGAAACAATGAAAATTTAATTCTGCCCGATGTATTTTTAAAGAAACAAATTCATTGAATGGATGCGGATTTTTCAGAGCCTCAGAGCCCGGAGAAGAGAAACTTTTTCAGGGATAAAAGCTCGGAAATTACAATTTTAGAAATTGAAAATCTTTCGAGTGCTAAGGTTCTGAGATAAGAATCTTTCAGAGATTACAGATGATAATTATGAATGACGAAGAAAACTTTTTAGTAAATAATACTGAATTAATATCAAAAATTTGCATTCTCAATTCTGTCGAATTTTTTTGCGACAATAAATTTTAAGATTTTTTTGAGAAACTAATTCAGCTGCGTGTGTATTATCGCAAATTTCCCCGGAGAAATTACATTGAAATTGATATTGCCATTGTTGCCACGCCTTCTAATGCTTTTAAACGTTATCTCAACACTATTTGTTCGCAAAAACTTTTTGTAATTGGTATTATTATTAAGCTCCCCGCATTCACCATTACTTTCAATCAATTTGGCTGTTCGAATGATTGGAGATTTTTGGCAAGGAATCATTTGGAGCTAGAAATATAGACAAATACAGATGGGTTGTTACCACCACTTAGTTTTTCTATGATACCAGAATGAGTTTCTACATCTTTACACTGAACTACTATCCACTTTATTATCCTACCCTTTGGTTCTATATTTTTATGTATATAATTTTCAGGCACTTATATGGAATCGTAGAATGTGGCCATACATATATGATTGCCTCTTATTTTTTGCTTAAAATAATTATCATAATTTCCGAGTACGAATGCCCTTAAGCCTTAAGGTTGAATGTTTTCCCTAGTAAATTCAAAAATAATTAGTATATATAATTATATATTAATATATTTGAAAGTATATACTTAAATTTGCGCTTTGTGAATTCAATGGTAAATCTTATTTCTTTAATTTCAGTAAAATGCTTTTTTGAAACGATAAAAATGTTCTTAACTTACAGTAGGCAAATTTTAAGCTGAAAATGAAAGGAAAGTAATTGCCTTTATTTTTAAGATTTTTTTACAGGTGAACTATGGTTATAGTTTTTTGAAAAAATTTGTGAAGTTGACGAAACTTTTTGGTTTCTAATTTTGTCTGAATCTTATCAAAATTTTGTTTAGAAAGCACTTCAAATTGCATTTTCATCTCGGTATCTTTTCGTTACGAATACGCTCTGTTATAGTTCACTGCTTGGTGTTGCTGATAGTCTGCAGCAATATATTCACGGTGATTGGGATCCAAAATTAAGCAAGGATTTCGATAAATGGCGTACATGTAAGTTTCAACATATTTTTGATATTTTGATATTTTAAAGAATTTAAGATGAAAAAACATAAAGAGAATAGATGGAGATGATCCTAACTTTTTTTTCTTCATGTAGCAGCTCGCACAATTACGGTTTACCATCAAGACCCATATATAGTTGGGTGATCTATACGTTCACTTGTCTCGCTTAACCTTATTAATCCAGGTCTTGATGGTTCCTTCTCGTTTTTGACGTCACTCGAGATTTATTTGCTTGTATATAAATTCATCATAAATAAACTAAAAAATAATGTTTCGTAATTCCCTGAGAAATTTTCTTTTTTAAGCTCGAGCTTTAATATGAAAATTCTAAATCCTATAATATATTCAGCTGCCAATTAAATTCTAATTTGAGATCCAAACACACCGGTTTTTTTAAGAAAGAAATATTCTTAAAAAAAAAAAAATTCAAAGAAATATATCTGATTTTAGTTCCAACTTTAAAATTAGCTTGTTTAATCTTTTTTCACTTATATTAAAACAGTCTTCAAGTGACTTTTTGTCAATTTAATTTGCAGTCAGATTTTCGATAATGGGTTTTATTCTTGGTCCGATGAATCACTTTTGGTATCGATGGCTGGATTCAGGTATTATTAAAGGTGGTAGAAACATCGTGGTACTTAAAAAAGTCATTGCTGATTTTCTTTCGTCACCAGCTTTCTCATCTGTATTTATTTCAGGTTTATTTTCGTTTATCCATATTTTAGCGCTGAAAATTCTCTGCCCAATAAAATCAATTTTTTAAAATTTTTTAAAAATATGTATAAAATACATACAATTTTTTTAACAATATTTTTTGTATGAAACATATGGGGTCATTTTTTATTTTTGGTTTTTCTGATGCTATAATTTAAAACAGTGGATTTTTATATCGATTTAGGTGTTGCATTGATGGAAGGACAACATATCGCTGGTGCTATGCGGGAATATTTGAGGAAATATTATAGAATATTTGTAGTTAGTTATGTTTATTGATTATTGTCCTGAAAGAATGAGAAAAATTCTTCCGAATTTGAGAAATTATAAATTAATAGTAATTCTTTGTTTGGCCCTGAAAATGTGGTGGAGAATGTTAAAATGTTAATAGAGGATTCTTTCAACAGGTATCAGCCTCAATTCAATTAGAATTTGATAATCTACGGTTTAAATATGTATATGTTCAGTACATGTTTAGTTACGATAGACGTAAAATTATAAAATTATCAGTTTATTAAGCTGAATAATTTATAGTTTATCATAAATTTGTTTAATTTTATTTATTATTTAATCTAATTTATTAATTGTGACCCAATAAATTTACAAATTTACAAATTTATGTTTTATCGAATCTTTTTTATGCTTCTATAATTTATTAAAACCTGGCAGTGCTGGAGATCCGCTTGTCTGCAAGTGATTTCTCTGGCAAAAATTTCTAACCACATTAGCATTTGGCAGCGTCGGCTAGCTTCACCAAATAAACATTATCTTACTTATATTATAAATCATAGAGCAAAAATTCGATTTAAATCTCTAATTTTTAATATCGTTTTATTTTAAGAAAAATCTTTTTTTCCATTAATAATTTTCTTAGCTCTCTTTCTCATTTTAAAAAAACAGGTGAAGGATAATTGTTGACTCAAAAAATTTTCAGCTTGATGTTTGCGTGTGGCCACCCACACAATTTTTCAATTTTTGGTTTCTGCCAAAGTCGTGTCGTGTAGTTTATGTTGGAGCAGTACAGCTTCTATACAATTGCTTTTTGTCTTATATAAAACATAATGAAGCCGATGGCACTCCAACAACAATGAAATCAGAAATCAGATATTCTTTACATCCGGATTTATGACATCGTTGAAGATCATAACTCAATAGTTTAAAAAAAAGAATGCTCAATTAAAAAGATTTCGCCGTCTTCTTTGATTATCTTTTGCTCTTTTATATTAATGTTTTTATAAGCTGGTTCGAAAAGCAATTATAAACGAAACAACTGGGCAATAAATTTAAAATAAGCGTAAGCTTGCTTTCTACTGTTATTTGATATTTTGATTATTTGTTATTTGCTTTTATATAATCTCTTCTTCTAATACCATTTATAGTTTGCTTGCCTCCACTGATTATTAGGAATGAATGCCGATCGCTGGAGAATCGCTTAGGAATAAACATGCCGGTACGTCCTCAGCACGACGTTGATTTTACTTTAAATAAGAAATTTATTTAAAATGAACATGAATAATGAACAAGAATTAAATCCATGATGCTACATTTAATTCCAAGAAACATATTGCTCGGTCATCCTATCATCCTAATCCTTTGTATAATGCATATAGGTCATTTTCATTGCATTTTGATTATAAAAATTTTTGATCTATGGATCGAAATCGGCGAATCACAATAGCTCACGAAAGTTGATTTAAAATACTCGCTGAAATTTTCTTCAACCAACTGACACATTCATGTTTGGATTTTTACTTTTTTTATCTTAAAAATATCAATTTCAACAAATTTTTCATCGAATTGTGAAATTCTTGAAATTTTCATCAAAATGATTGAATGATTGAAAATATAAATTAGAAAATTCAATCAAAAACATTTCATATTTTCGATTTATGAATTAGTCAATCTTAAATAATTTTTAGAATTCAGTAAAACCTATTCCAGAATTTTGAATAAATTAGGCTTTAAAAATAAAGAAAATAAAAGTGAGCGCTCACTGCTGGTGATCGCGCCAACTGCTAAGGATTAAATTTTAGCAAGAGCCATTTAACGAGAGAAATACGGTGGATCGCCAACACTCGGACTTTTAAATTACAAATTTATAACTATTGGCCATAGAATCGGAACCCTTACTTCTCAAGACGACTCTAAACCACTATTCACTTGGTTGACCTGTCCATAAGAAATAAAATTTCTAAATAAAGCCATCACAAATCGAATGGTCTCTTGTTGCTGAAAATAATGATTGTGCATAGGCTAGTCTTTTCGTCAATAATATTGCAAGACGGGAAATAAATATGTAATAAATAAATTCATCGTCGTTGACCTCTTCGTTCCTTCTTTCCTTTCTTCATTCTGCTTCATTATCGATTCTTTTTCATAATTTTTCATCATATTTTCATAAAAATATTTCCACTTTTCTAATTTCAAATTTTATTTTTATTTTTTTATTCCGCGGAATTCCTAAAAAAATTTATGGGAAAAAGCCGAAAAAATTCTATTTTTTATTGCTTTAAATAAAGAAATTTGCCTCTTTTTGAAAATTAAATTCTCAAATTTTGGAAATAAATTTTTTAAAATAAATTTATCAAATTTATCAAATACTATATTAATCGCGTATTTCCTGCTACTGGAAAGAGCAAACTTATCATTAAAAATCCGGATAATTCTTCCGCTTGTACTTCTATCCTGAAACGAGTCTCTCGCGAAAATCCCCCTCTAGCCAGTTGAACCACCGGAAGCTAATTTGTTGCTTGGCTACTAACTAAATGTTCTAATAACTAAATAGATATTAGAATGAAAGCGATGAGTTTTATGAACGTTTTTCACAGTTACGAGTCATATCAGTTCATCGAAATTCATACTCCGAATTTGTTTAGTTTTTGAAAAAGAAATTTAAAATCAATAGTGATTTCGAATAGCTAAGTAACAAATTCAGAGAGTCAATAAAAGTTGATTGGTTCCCGAACTAATTTCAACCTTTTTCCTTCAGAAACTTTTTGGCTTTGGCTTCAACGGATGCGATCCTCGAACTATCTTAAGATAACCGATTTCAGAGGAGAATATACGGAAAAAAATTTGCCACAATTATCGGTATGGAATATCAAATAGCACTCTTTATCGGAAAATCGATTTTTTTCTTTTAATTGCTCTTGATCCCTGATTTAGGCCAAATTTCAACTCTTCCTTGAGCAAAATTTCATCCGGACTTTCATTCTAGTTTTCTACAATGTAATTTTGACGTTTTTTGATAAAAAAACAAACAAGAATCAATCGATAGTTGCCGTTGTTTAATTATTATACTAGGAATATTGCTGAAAAATTGCACCTAACACTGATGGGTGATTCTCTTAGTAAACCTGTTGTTGAAAGACTTCTACTCCAAATCTATGTGTAAATATGTAATTTAAATAGTGCACCGCAGTCAGCAAAATCAGCGAAATCTCCTGTTTGCCAAACTTGTTATTTTTCGTTAAAAGCCTTCTGGGATCCTCTTATCCTTTTTTAGCGCCTTCTAAATCCTATTACATCCCTTTAGTATTTGCCACAATCCATTAACCCTTTAAATTCTTGTTGTCCTTTGGAACCACCTGAAAAGTGGTCACCATTTCTGGTTGTGCTCGTCCTCTCCGGCTGTTAGTGCGAACAGAATTTTTTGTCAGAGTATCATTTGGAGATCGAAATACACCTAAGATGAATCGCTAATACCATTCGGATTTTTTAAAAACAGCCTTATACTTGTCGGAAACAATGCTCTTACGTTCGAGAGGATGATCTGAATAACAATCGCTCAGTTAATCTCCCTCCTTGGAACCCAGTTCTCTCTAATTTTCTTCTTCTTCTAACAGCTCTCACCATTACTTATTGGGATGGGTCCAACGGCTACGAGGGTAAGACGCTTCCAAGCGGCGCGGTCTGATGCCTTCGTCGACAGTAATAGAAGCCATTCCTTTTTCCATCGTCTAAGTACATATATTGCTAATTCACCTATACAAAATCTTTTCTGACCGTATCAGTCCAAGTCTTGATTGGCCCATCTTGTTTTCGACGCCATTCATCACATGGTTTAGCAAGTAACGACAATTCTTGTGGTGGACGACGGAGAACGTGCCCTAACCACCGAAGGCGACGCTCTGTGATAACGTTATTAATGCAAGTGGTATTTGAACGAAAATGGATGTGATCATGTGATATTTTATCCGCTCGACGGACCCGTAAAATATACCTTTCTCTCCAATTTAACCCCGTCATATTTCTCTTTATCCGAAGGATAACGAATATAAGGAGAACTGCAGGAATGGAGGCAATATCGAAAATTGATAATGATATACAACAGGAACTGGAGAATTATAATGAGGTTTATAGACTATAGTGGTAAGAGTGTCCGCTATGTGGGAAATACAACGGGGATATCAAAGGATATGCGTGGACTTGACATATCTTTAAGCGAGCGCATTTCTAAATTCGCTGTGAATCAGTTTTTTGATATTTTGCAAAATAAAAATGGATAGATATTTGCCCCCAATATTACGCTCATCTTATTATTTAATCAACGAAAAATTTTGAGAACGAATCTTCTTACTTATTCACTCATTATTTATTTATTGCCTTGTGAAATTATTTGCTATTTCACTTGCTTCATTATTACATAGACAGACAGCGACGACAGTCCACGTTTTGTCGTTATTCTAGTTATGCATAATTACTGCATGACTTGCGTTACGTTGCGTGTACCACTCGATCATATGATTGATTTTGCAGTTTGTTGTGCTCCTCCAAAAGAAATAAGAGAGAATGGAAGAACAGGAATCGTCTTCTCGCAAGCGAAGGTATTTTCCTGCCTGATGCGATAAAAACATTATGTAATATAGAAATTGATGATAAGTTGTTAGCATTCACCATTTACGCTAGCTAATTCAACTAACTCCACTTTTAGTCCAGTGAAAATTTTCGCTAGAAAGTCATCTGGCGATACAGTTAGGTCGCTAACATGGATTGGCAGCACATCGCCGAAGCTGAATTACTGACTCTCAAGATGAGCAACACCCTCGCCTACCTTCATAAATTATTAATTATTGCAAAGTTTCACTGGTTCATTTATTCGCACTCTACAAAAATATTTTTGATTTCATTCCGAAGAAAAGAAAAATGATAGAAATTTGTGAAAACACTGTGGAAAAATATGAAAATAACCATCATAACCGTTTATATGCATATAAATTTTTGTGATGATCAGCGATTTGTGATGATGATAAATATCGAGTTGACGATATTGATTATTAAATGATTATTGATATTGATTGCTGTCAGAATTAAATATTCGTGTTTTCCTCATAATTCACAAGAGATGAAGTAAGAGGGTTGACTGTTGCCATTTCGCAGATGTTTATTTGCAGCTTCGTGTTCATTTAATGTGTTGAATGCACTTATATATAACAGTCTCAATTATGGATATATGAACTATGATAATTTATAAATTTTAATCAGTTCATTTTTTAATCCAAAAATCTATTTTTTTTTCACATTTCATTAAATTATAAATTATCAATTTGTATTTCTACCATTCTATCAAAAGTAATAAGAAAACAAGAAAATTATATTCTAGCCTAAGCTATCAGTTCAGTCACATTTCAGACTCCATGATTAGAAGAGACTTCATTAAAAATCCTGTGCTGAGGATCCATTTTTAAGCTCAAGTGACCGAAGGATCTCATCCTAGTAGCCAGTGGAACCAAACAGATCAGGAGAAGTAAATAATTTAGAAGAACAAGGACATAAGTAATATTGTGGATATTACTTATTGTAGATAAGTAGATATTGTAATAATTCGTATTTGCCAAGACATTTGACGATAAAAATATAGGTGAATCATCAAAACTGTGGTTATTTTGCTGAAGACGAGGTCCAATTCCTGGCGCTGGTGATTGCAATTTGTGCAAGCACTTAGCTACCCTACCTTTGCCTGATATATCTCTTTTTATAACCTCTAAACAAAGAGAGGTCGATAATCAAATCAAAAGAAATTTTTTCGCTGATTTCAAAAGTTAATTTTCATAGTATTTTATAATTACACATATCCGAGTTTTATCCATGAAAAAGAAAATGCTTGGAATTGTTACTGCATTTGTGGAA